AGACGTGTAAAAGCTTTAGGATGTTATGACATCTTATCGATAGGGGCTGGGTTTGTGTCTGTGAACTTTGACAAAGTCTATAACTAGTTATAAGATAATAGAACTAACAGTATTTAGAAAGCACCTATTGCTCTGAAATCGTATAGTAATATGCATGATGAAAGGTGAATCTATACCTGTATTAAATTTCAAGTAAAATGTTAAAAATTTGTGCAATTTTTTTTGAACGACACGTAGCATATCATTAAACGGTTTCCAAGCCGGTGTAAAAGGGTAGGAGGTCCTATCAAATCATGGTCCTACTCTCCATTGATTTATATTGTGACCTAATTACAATTATTTTCCTTATTATCGTATACGCAATCGGGACCAGTAAGGGCCGTTAAGAAAGGGGACCATAATCCCTGGGGGACCATCATTTCTTTCACACCGGCAATATTACGTAAACTGAAATCTGTTAATCCGGTCAGCTGGTCTGGGTTAATCTCTCACTTGTAGCATGCAGGCTATTATACTGGCTCTGCAGCCTTGCATGTTCTGGTGGAATTCTGGTATTACCTCAACAGCTACTATATCGACTATCGATGGTGACAGTCGGTGCGATGTCAAAATATGAAAAAATCTTCGCCAAGTAACAGCACGATAATTTCAAAAAATTCTTGAAACTTTTTCAATCATATTCAATTCATGCACTTTCTAAATGAACGATTTTTACATGTTTAACATAAAATGATATTTGAATTCATTGTAATATCCACAATACCAACACTTAAATTTTATCTGTTTAAGCTTCAGAATAGAGCTGTTTTTACTTTTTAGGCATGAAATAAAGTAGAGCCAAATTTAGTTCTTCAACTAAACGTTACAAATCATTTTCGGGAAGTATGTCCCAGACAATGATATATGGAGTTAGCCCGTGTGAAACTAGTGATGTTTAATAATTATGTTTATAAGTTTTGGTAATTTTTGGCATTATATGAAGACTGCGACTCTCAGCCAGTCAGCAAAAATCCATTAACTGAGTTCAACAGATGAGGCTTCGGATGTTTTGTCTAAATATTTCTTTCTCACAATTGTGGGGTCCACAGTCTCTGTTATCCTTTGGAATAGAAAGAGTGACTGATAAATCAGAATGCTTTCTCGAAAATCTTAGATATATTATCATATTTTGGTAAACATGAAAGTTTTGTCAATGCCACATGTGCCAGGTGGACACAAAATCACTTTTTCTAATTTACTTTTTATAAAGGAGGAGGGAAAGTATAGCAACAGATTCTGGACAGTCATATGTTGGATTTTTGGTTTGATTTTCAACCCCTTCCACCCCTGTTTTTTAATTTTTCTTGCATCAATATTTTGTGTTTTAACACACAGTTAACCCCTTTAAAGGAATAAGTAAATATTTCCCATGTTATTTTCCAGTCGGAAAAACTCATGCGATCCATTGCTTTCAGCTAATTTTGGTCACCCAAAATGGATATCTTTAAAAACCCCAAAGGAATCACTTATTCCTTCAAAGGGGTCTACTGTGTGTCAAAACGCAACATATTGATGCAATAAAAATTGAAAAAGGAGGGGTGGAAGGGGTTGAAAATCAGAACAACATTTCAGAAAAAAGATGTGGGTGGGTTGTTTGCATCTTCCCTGTCTCAAAGTCGAAATTATTTTATCATTCTCTATGAGTTGTTTTCCTGGAGGTAATGCATTGAACTAACAGATGCACATGTTTGAATCCTCAGAAAACAGCCAAAATTCAACATATTGACTGTCCGAAATCTGTTGCATTACCTTCCCTTCTCCTTTACACTTATTTTAGGTAAGGATTATTTACTTGGTTTCTCAATATTGTATTAGATAAGACCTTTTATTACGACCCTGCTCACCTCAAAACTTGGGAATAAAAAGAAAAAGCTTCAGAACTAACCTCAAAACTTAGTTGCGTCGTCTGGATTCACACAAAAATTGAAACTTATTTTTGGCTCTTGGAATTTTCACAAATACATTGAATTTTGATTCAACTTTATTTTTGTGATAAGATGAGAGAGAGAGGGAGATGGGTGTAATGAGAGGTTGAACTTCGCCCCATATGCACTATTTGTGCGAAACTTAAAATGCACCTATAATATGTGTACCTGAAAATAACGGTCAAAATAGTATGGGACTCCAGTAAGGGAGCCATACAAAGGAGCGGTATCGATATGGAGAACATTTTGAACACATGTTTCTCTTAAACCAGTCATAAAAAGAATCTAAAAATTTTACACATCGTCAATTCAATGATCATATTTTGAATGGTAACAATATAATTTGAAAAATAAATATATACTTTCATCTATATTGTTTTAGAAAACACATCAAATACTTGTTTTGTTCTTGGTATCACGTTTCCAGAGTGAAATGAAACATCTTTCCGAACCTCATTGTAAAACACGACATAAACACAACATGTTTAGGTCTCTCAATATTGTAATTGTACAAAGGAAATTTTGGTTGATTTTAAAAAGTATCTTGTTAATGAAATGAAAGGTTTATCTTGATTTTTATATATTTTGGGGGGATTTTGTTTTAATTTTTGAATACTTTTTTAAAATCTATCAAAAATTCCTTTGTATAATTAACTATAATATTGAGAGGGCTAAAAACACGTTGTATATGCTTTTTTGTTCCAACAAGGTTCGGAAAGACATTTTATTTCATTCTCAAAAATTGGTAGAAAGGAGCAAAAACAATTGCACTAAAAAACAAAAATGTTAACAAAAACAGTTATATGAAATATTTCTAAATAATTTTCGCATTAAATTGTTGTCAATCAGTCAACATAACACAAAATACCCGGTTTTTTACAGAATGTTTTCAATGATTGGTTTAAGAGAAAAAACATTGTTGAATTCAGCTCTCCATATCGACACCAATCCTTTATGTACATGCAGAACTTAACCTAACACGGGTTACTAGAGTATCCGCGTATATTGAGTATGACCAGTTCTAAGCTTACGAGTGTGACCGTATTTCTGTTCCTATATACAGACGAGGTGAGTACTTGCTTTTTATGAACACTTTCGAACGTTTTCTTTTTATCCTACTTGGTCAATGAATGATACTTGGTATACTTATAATGCCAGGCATATCACAAGGGGGCTTAATGAAGAGAAAACGTATTAATATTAGATTGAAGCCGTAAAATCCTAGTTTCCAGCATCTTTGATCAGTTTTTGTGTAACACAACGCAACTCCGAAGAGGATGACACATCTTATGTATAATATATAGCTAGATCTACGAATTAGTCATGAATATTTTAAATAATTTAGCCTGCTCTGTCCAAATATGATACATCTTTGAATTTTTGAGAATACGAATGTCACTGGTGCCCCATTATTGGAGAATACGGTTGTGAAACAATCAGTGGACCGTTCCATGACATTTCACAATCGTATCCTCTGGGAAAAGATAAATCCTTCTCTTGCTCATTCTACGGGGGATCATATAAACTGAGATTTGGAGATCTTGTTCAGGTTAGCCATAAAAAGGTTTGGGATTTGTTTTTTTCTACTGTGATATTCATGATTTGGCTCTAAGGCGAGAAATCTGTACTTTCTGATTGATATTCCATTATGAACAGTTACATTGCTAAAATAGCTCATGTTTAACATTTTTTTGTTACATTACTATTAAATACAGCATAAACTATATTCAACAAACACAATTTCAAAAAGGATAATATAGAAGTTAACCTTTATTTTCCATTTTAAGCAGCTGTGCCTCTCATGACTTTCCAAAACAGGTCATATTCGTAGCCTAAGAACCGGTGTAAAAGTAATTATGGTCCCTTGGGGATTATGGTCCCCTTTCTTAAAGGCCCTTACTGGCCCTGATTGTGGATACGATAATAAGGGAAAGAGTTGTATTTAGGTCACCATACAAATCAATGGAAAGTAGGAGCATAATTTGATAGGACCTCCTACCCTTTTACACCGGTCATACTCCATATACGTGGAAACTCTGTTAGCCCGTGACCTAAGCTACCTTGAACCTTTTCAGCTTTTTACGTGAGCATAGTGTACGACATGTACGAGTTCATTGTGGTTTCAAATCTCTAGATATCCCTCACCTGATTTAGATAAAGAAATATCAGAATGTGCGAGGTTTTTTACATGTAGTACATTGCTCTATGTAAAGAAATGACTTGAAAACTATTGAATATCGAACCACTGCTCAGGTATGTTTATTCGCAATGGCAAAGACGATAACGCTTATAAGGTGACCTGGCCTCTAAAGGGGCTCTAAACATGCGACTAAATGGGACTTTTGGGTAGAAAGAAATGTGACAAATAAATGCTCGCAAGTGACAATTGTGTACGTTTATCGGACTGACAAGTATTTTGAAAGTGACAAATATATAAGTTAAAATAATAGAACCAAGTTAAGATGACTTATTCTAACCAGAACAGACTATTTGTTGCATTAAATGCTTTGACTGACTAAAAAGGAATGCATCTGACAAAATATGACAAGTAAATTATAAATGTGACAATTTTGAAATTTTAAAAGTGACAATAGCGACCTCACTGCCCCCTCTTGGGGAGCCCTTTATTGAGCATACCTACATACATGACATACAGCATATACGGTATTCGAACGTTCATAATAACATTTCATAGCTCATACATATAATTTTATGTTTCTCCACTAATTCTGCATTGATAAGAAGTTTACCTCGGAATACAGTAACTGGGTGGTGGTATAGTGGTAAATTGAACTGTTCGGATTGAAACTTCAAATTTGTTTTTTTTTTCAAATCAGTAAATCCCGGGCAGTAAATTGAAAGCAGATGGTAACAAGCAGGTAAGATAAAAACGGGTAGGCCTAAAATTGCACATGTACTTTTGTAACCATGTAATTATAATGTAAGGCTCTTGGTGATCGATTAAGCTACTACTACTTATAGTAGGCTATAACTGTATAATGCCTTGAATTTCTATATTATGAGGCTTGTACTTACCGCATTTGGTCTCAGAGTTGTCCTGCAGAGTTCGATGATCGAAACCTGGAGCTGCTGCTGTTCCTTAGTAAAGTACCATTGTGGGTCGTATTCATATCCAATGCCCCAAAAGTCGGTTTTTCCCCAAGCCTTTTTACCCTCAGCCATATTTTATTGTCGACGTACAGTTGTGCGAGAGCTGCCTCGATAGCTGTACAATATCGCACACTAATACTTGTAGATAGCTTATGTTTATCTACATGGCTTGTAACAAAGCAAGAGGGGCTTCCAAAGGGGTATATGGCAAGGTCACATTGCCTTACTGTGAATACAACCACTGCCATTTAATAAATTATTTGCGACTTTATTTAAGGAATTATTTAACCGTAACATGTGGAAATTATCGACTAAATAAGAGACTCTTACTTCATTAACTTTCCCTATCCCTAGAGAAATCATTGTGCATGTGTATATTGTACAATACAACTACGATGTTTTCAAGCAAAATAATATAAGACGTTTACAGGGGCCTCCCCGGGAATTTTCCAAATGACTTCATGGAGGATTGACTCCCAGGATTCCAACTCAATATTCTGCCATAAATGGATGTCGTTATTTCAAATTTCGAAATCAAACAGCTGGCTATATATAAATAAAGCATATAAAAATATTTGACAGAAGTATCATTAATACATATATTTTTGATATCTAACGAAGTGGTGGTGAAAGGTGGCCCCAGTTGGTAAAAACAGACCTCGAAAAGTTTGCTTATTTACATTCGGCTCCCTGTTAATTTATCAATCTTCAAAAGACCCCCTGTAGAACAGTTTTAGAGTAATAAAGCCCATATTCCTAGTATGTTACAATAACATGATTATCTTCAAAGTAAGAAGGGATGTTTTTTTCTTTTGCCTAGTTCCAAAGATATTGGCGTTTGAATTTTGGAAAATCTCCATGGCTGCCATTATAAACTGCTATCAATACGGCTTTATTAAATTGTCCTATTCTGAAAAAGTCTACAATTGAATTTTCTTATATTGTAGATTTCTATAGTTAGTACGATCGTATATTGACTTAAGGAAAACCAAACAGGCACATTTTAAAAAATTTCTCATTTTTGATATATTTAGCCGTGAAGTTGTATAAAAACCTTTATTCAGCCCCATAGTAATTTATCAATCTTCAAAAGACCCCCTGCAGAACAGTTTAAAAGTGATAAATCCCATTTTCCTAGTATGTTACAATAAGAGATGATCTTCAAAATAAGAAGGGTTGTTTTTTTCTTTTGCCTACTTCAAAAGATACTGGCATTTAAATTTTGGAAAATCCCCATTGGCTACCATTATAAACCGCTATTAATATGTTTTTACTAAAGTGTAATTTTCTCAAAAAGTCTACTATGAAATTTTCTAATATTGTAGATTTCTATAGTTAATATATTGACTTACGGAAAATCAAACAGGCACATTTCCCAAATAATAAGAAGAATGGTAACCATTCTTATAGAAAAATAATACATTATTGTAAAAATCTTCAGTTTTCCTCGAATAAAGTATGCATTTTTGTGATTTTTAGAAAATAGACATGACAAGAAATGACATGAGCCAAAAATATTCTAAAATTGAGACAAATTTCTGTTTAGCCTGCTTGCTATATCTGATTCTCTCTTTAATGCTAGAGCTGAAAAACGACAAGTTTAATTCAATGTCATCGATCAAGGTCAAGGTCGAATATCGCGAGTTGGAACCCTGGGAGCCAGTCCTCGTTGGAGGGACTTGTTGTCTAGCTTCTCCACCTCTTTCGCCAGAGCAAATAGTTCTTTCCTCCGAGTCTCATTCTCTTCAGCACAGTGAATGAAATCCCAGGGGAATGTCAAACTCAAACAAAATTCGGCTCAAAGAGGGGGCTGTGCTCGTATATTTTAACTTCCTGAACCTCAAATCGCGCTTTAGACCGATATTTACATGACCAATATATACGTAGGGTTTTTCTCTGAAAACCCCATGCTATATACAACATTTGAAAATAATGACGCATGTCGTATTTACCCTTTAGAAACCCCTGCATCTAGCAAAGGCCTGGTAAATTCCATAGGTTCTGGGCCGATATAAAGATGGCAGCACCAACAGAATCCAGAGAATATTGTACAAATAGTGACTGCCATTGAGGGAAATAGTGCAAAATATTTTCCTCAAGGGAATATCCTGTCCACTGACATGTTCCCGAGGCTGCAGGAAATTTTTTACACTATTTCCCGAAAATGTGGCAGTCACTATTTGTTTTATTAGATACCTGATAAGTACTCTGTAAACAAAAACAAAATGAGAAGTCTTTTCATTTCAATATCAAATGTTCACAGGTTCTTATTGGCATTTAAAGGCATTTTACCTTTCAACTCCTATAATCTCAGATTTGGGGGAAGATAAAATGTACTATTGACTGGTCACATGACCTAACTGGTGATTAGTACAATTCATCTTCCCTGAAAGCAGGGATTTAGGACTTTCCAGGGAATTAGTTCATCTATTCCATGTCATGTGACCATGAATAAGCCAATGAGCATCTAAAATACATTTGAGGTATATAATAATTATAAATAAACACAGATCGATTACCATGTCATCTTTATTTAAGAATTATTTCTATCGACCTACTAACTTTTAACCATAGACAAAGTAAACCTATATAGGCGCTAGAAATAATTTTAAATAAAGAGGGCAGGCAAACGATATCAATATATTTTTATTACCGTGCGTTTACTTCTTTTAGCCTACATTTCCCCCGATCATCGGCCGGCGCCTGGCCGATTGCAGTATTTTCCCGAGTGTTTTATTCAAAACTGATTTCAACTTGATTCAAATTGACCAAACTTTTTTTAAATCATCTCAGGGGTGCAGGTGTAAAAGGGTAGGAGGTCCTATCAAATGATGGTCCTACTTTCCATTGATTTATATGGTGACCTAAATACAACTCTTTCCCTTATTATCGTATCCACAATCAGGGCCAGTAAGGGCCTTTAAGAAAGGGGACCATAATCCCCATTTCTTTTACACCGGCCGATGAATCGGAGCAAATGTGACCGAGGCATTATAGATTGTATTATTTAGAGCAATATATTTTCTGAAAAATTCAAAATATTCTGTTCAGTGACCTTTCCGAAGGTCGAATTTTTAGCTATTTTTCAGTCACGTTTTCAGAGGGCTGAAAAAAATTATTTCATCATGTTTAGGGTCATCCTGACCAATACACATTGATCCTTGTCATGTGGATGATATGTGGAACTGGTTAAACTGACTGGGGGTCAAAACAGAACTCTGTTATCATGGTTCAAAAAGTGCCTAAAATTCAGCATGTTTTCGTCACTTCCTATTTTGTCATTTTCTGTTTGAGTACTATGAGACCTTAAATGCATCGACAGATCTTTCGACCTTTAACTGATTTAATTGTCAGAATATTTGCTTAAAGGTTAAAGGCCATTCAACGATCATGGACCAGTGACAAAATATATTAAAAGTTTGGAAATTTCATCAAGACTGTCTAACATATATTTTTATTATCTACAAAGACACTCCCTGGATGAACATTATTTCAGTTGATATTCCTCTTGTGTTGGATCCAAAAAATCTATAAGTGGGACTTTGAACTGAGAACTGAATTTACATTTCTTAATGCTTCAAAATTGATAGTTTATCCATACGAACGTTTTAAGAAAATAAGTATGTCCAAGAAGATGTTAAGCCAAATGTTTACCAACATTTACCAAGTCGTTCAACAAGAATATCGATCGACCAAGCCTTGATAATTTTATGAATCATCATGCACATGAGCAATCGCTGACCAATAAACGTGATTGCGAAAATTCTAATTTTATTGCGGCAAGATCTGTTTTTATTGCATAAACGTGGTTTCGAAAGTACTTCCAGACAAACGTGATCTGGATAGAGGTCAACAATGCCAATCAGAGTCAATTGGGAAATATCGGATTGGACCAGGCCTTTAAAGTTACGGGTTATTCGCGTGCATCTTGCATCACTGTGTACTTTTCCATGACATTGACATTGAGAGCACTGAAGCAATAGTCGCCTATTGCAAATATAGTATTTAGTTATAAAACAGGTATAATCTGGATCAAACAAATCGGGGATTTTTTCTACAAGAACTCTCCTGAACCGATCAAATGAGAGTATCAATTTTCGAATGAAATGAGAAACAGTGAAAAATAAACAAAAGTACAATCTTAACTCTTAGGTAAACTATGGGATTAATAAAAACGTATACAATCGCCAAACTGGTAGTACAGCGCTCGGGAACCGGGATATTCAACCGGGCTGCAGCAACAAATATTGCATCCAATCATTGTCATCTGGTCAGACCTTTTCATGAAGATGGGGTATGTACAAACATTGATCCTCACATTTTATTAATTCATATTTCCTAGCAATATTATAGTCTATACAGTGTTTATATATAATGACGTCTAAAATAAATATGAATTAGGGCCTAATCAAATCATTTCTGGGAAGTCAAACCTTGAATTAAAAATTGAACGAATTATGCATTATCGTGGTACTCAAGAATTTTGATTGATTTGATCTCTGGTTAAGATCTTGACCTCTAATACTCTGTCATGTCATATTCTGATATCTGTGCAAACATAAACTTCCATCCAACGTTATCAAACGAAGATATATAATAGATCTATATAGAGGATCTTTAACTTTGCTGCATTACGCTGGTTATATAAATGGATTATTAATCTACAGACTATTAGATAATCCAAATCTTGTTGCAAAGGGCAATGATCCCTGTTTCATTGAATTCACCCCCCCCCCTGGAATCATGATTTCCCTTGCTGGCTCTGATTGAGGATAGATTAATACATAAGCGTCTATAATTATACGGTATGCATCATATCACAAAACATCACATACATGGATACATGAAGATCGTTGCTGAGTGACTCTACCTAAATTACAATTTTACGTCTTTGGAACAGTGCCATTTGTGAGGAAGTAAAGCAAGTAAAGGCCATGTCATCTTGTGTTTGTACTGTATAAAATATAACAACTGAACCTAGTCACGTTTTTAATGTTTTATCGTAGCCTATAAGCACTGTCAGTGTATAGGAAAACGTTTTATATTATGCTGCTTATATCTTCAGGTGAAGCACTGTGCTACAAAAGCAGAAGTAGAAGAAAGTGTGAAACAGTACAAAAAGGGAAACTTTAGCCTCATAGCAGATGGAAGTGCAGTGAAACATTTTAGGTACAATATTAACGATTGTGAGATTACAGGATTAGGGAGAAGATTATCAATAAGTGAGCTCAAATGCAATGACCTTGTATCTTAACAAGGCTTTAAATTACGAACACTCGTCGGCTTCAGATTGTGAATACTTGGCGCTGCTAGGCAATAATTAACAATAATTTCCTGATAGTTTCCTATTTAGAAAGACTCGCAAAAGGTTACTATGGTTACTTGTTTTGGTTATCCTGATTTTGAGAGTTCCATATCCAAAACCTCCATATCTCCCTCTCCAGGGCATATCTTCCCGCTTTGAAAAAAGGTTGAAAAAATTGAAAAAAATTGTATACTGTACAGTAAATGTTAAAAAAGAATTAGAACTCCCCTGGTATTGGATAAAGTAGTTATGTGTTATGTAAGGTCGGTTTGGATATGGGGTTTATCCCTCGTGGGATATGCACATCTAGCTTCGGTCCCTACGGTCCCTCGGGTAAATATGCATATCTCCCTCTGGATAAACCCCATATCCAAAACCTCCCAGTACATAACCCTTATTTATTTGATAATTATTCAAAATATTGACATGCCTACCTAAAACAAAAGTCACCATAGTAATAATATTTTTTCTCCAACAAAGTCGATTCTTAGTGAAACTTGGCATTATTTTACACATCCATGGAAATGATAAAACACTTAAATTAAGACACTCAGAACGTATTGATAGACCTAGCACCTGTACATATGATGCATTTTTATATCAATGTATTATCTTTAATTAAATGACATTTTTCTTTGTGTTCTAGAAGTGATAAAACAACGAAAACACCCGAGTCTTCAGCTCCCTCTATCCAAGGCCTGCAGGACCCACAGGGTATAGTCCAAGAAACACAAGACCCCCAAACTACACAGAACCGTCAAGATTCCCCCAATTCCTCAGAATTAGACACTGTTGGGGGTGCTTACACTTTACCACATCCCATATGGTGAGTAGGGCCAGTCCTGGTTTGGGGTCCTAGCTGTGTATATAAACAATACATTTACATTAAGAAAATGTTGAAAATTACTAAGTCTGAAAAACCAGAAAACCCATCTCTTCAAGGATGTTTAATTGTATGAAATCTCGAACTGACTAGTTTTTCGGCATTCTTGGTAATAGTCAGGCGGCCATTTTGGATTTTCCGTCCTAAAATCTTGTCTGTATAGGGCCTAAGTCTTGTGTACCTGTTTCAAACCGTTTGATGGAATTATAATTTTTCTACTAATGAAATTCTACATTTAGTTAAAGTCCCCGTCTAAAGTTTGAAAATATTTTTTTATCATTCATTTACTATTTGTCAGGACTTAAAAAGTGATTTTAGAGATTTTTGAACAAAAATTTTTTTTGAAAAAAAAGTTGTGAGCATTTCATTTCTCAAATATTCAAATTTCCCGCCATTTTTCAAAAAAAGTTGAAATTTCTTAATCATCAAATATTTCTTAATGCATTTCAAAAAAAGATTATATTTTTAACACCAATGCAAAGATTGAACAAAAGACACACTATTTCAATAATAAAATGTCATATTTAATGGGCCACTTCAATGTTTTAGCTTATCAAAAATATTTTGAAACATTAGTGATGTCACTAAGGTAACAAAAACTTTTTGAAAAAAATTGAATTTTTTTTTCGATGTCAATCTTTTCTAAATATGCAAGACTTTCATAAAAAAAACAATGTTGATTGTCTAACCAGGTTAAAAGGAAGAATAAATTATGTTTTAGATATCATTGTACCATAGGTTTCTATGAGAACTAAAATTTTGAAATGCATTTTTCTCAGAACCATTTTCATGCACTGATAAGTTCATTTCTCGCTTGTTTACCAACCGATTTTCTTAAATTTTTCGGCAAAAAACATGGGAGGATGTATGCTATGCATTGGTATGAATTGTGGCTAATTAGAAGATATGAGTGACCTCTAAAAGTTGGTTTTAAATAAATTCACAAATTTTGGAACAAAAAGTCTATCAAAAACCACTTTTTGAAATTAAAAAAAAAAGTTTCACATATTACACTTTGGGTAAGACTACAATATAAGCCAAAGTGGTTTAAACTTTACACGGGGCCTTTAAACATAAAGATGCTGATTTAGTTTAAGATAATCATTTTGGACTTTTCATAGTCTTGCTTCAAGACTGTGAACCCCCCCCCCCTTACTTACTTCTCCAACACTTGAAAAGAAGATAGGGGAATGCTAAGTAAGACTGATAACTCGTCTTTTGGTAAAACTATATTTAAAGCTATGGAAGTTGGGAGAGAGACTAAATGCAACAAAGTTGAAACCAAGCAGTCTAATATTTTTACTTAATATTTTATATTTTCTAGGAGTACAGATGAACTAGAGAAAGTAGAAATTACCCACAATCCTCCAAAGGGGATTGTTGAACATGTAAGTAATGCGTTTGTTGTTTTTGCAATTAATAAATTGTAGAAATATGTGTGAGAACGAAGAAATTTTCATGTATAGACATAATACATACATTATCTATTTAAATAGAAAGTGTATGAAAAAGTTAGATTTTCACCATGTATATTGATAAAATGAAAGCACTTCTAATAGCTGAAATATTTGCACAACGTGAAATAAATGCGTTCTACGCTCTTGATTTTTCAGCTTGCTTACTGGAATGTACAAACTTTGAGAAGGAGTTTTGACTTTTTCTCAGGATTCTCATCTGGCAAAAGAACAGAGAAGAAATGGCTAACGTAAGCTATTAATAAGATGGAGAAAATTGAACTAATAAGCCTCAGTCACATTTGCTCTACAGCGGGTATACCATGGCCGTATCTTCACAAAATCAATATCAAAAAATCTACATTGTACTGCTTATCCCTATATTTTATGTTGCATATTTCTATCGATCTTGGGAACCTACGGCCGCCATACGGTTGCCGTTCATCAAATGTGACTGAGGCATTAGAGTCACTAAGACCAATTTATGGCCTATTCTAAAATAATTCCATTCAGAACACTTACATAACAGGCCTTTTGCTTATATCTGTAAGGTCAACATTGGACAAATAATCACGTTATGAAGTAAATAATTAATACTCATACGTTTGTCAGGAAAGTTATTCATTAATTTTTCAGACGTTTTGTTTTCCTGGAAACTGTAGCAGGTGTTCCCGGAATGGTGGCAGCGATGACACGCCACCTCAAGTCTTTAAGGAGAATGAGTAGGGACCACGGCTGGATACACACACTGTTAGGTAAGATTCTCTTTCAAATCAATTACTGTACTGTCCACACTGGAATATAGAGTTAAACTTGGATATCTCAACTCCTTTCTGATCATCCGAACACCTATCAATGTGAACACTTTTTCTCTGTCCCAATAAAACCTTGAAATTTGAACACCTGCTAATCGGAACACTTTTGGTGGTTCAAGATGCGTTCAGATTAGACACGCTTTACTGTACATTGAACCATTACTTATTTAAGCATTATTTTAGGAATGTCATTCAATATATCAAAATGTAAATTCTTTACACACAAATGTATTTGCAAGTTGTATGTGTTTTACAGAAGAGGCAGAGAATGAAAGGATGCATCTAATGACTGTAATACAACTGAAAGATGCTGGAATCCTTATGCGACTTGCCATAATGGGCTCTCAAGGTAATCACCCTAGCCTACTACCTAACCAAACCCGTCTGGCCCAGTTATCTACTCCTGACGACATTAGGAGTAGATAACTGGGCCAGACGAGTTTGGTTACCTACTACCTAGTTGGCTCAAACACGTCACGATTCTCAATTGTCAAGTGTGTTAGTTCATTATGTCACCACTAAAAGTGTTGGCATATTGTTATGATTTACAACGTTTTTATGAGGGTTGGCGTCTGTAACAAATGATAGGTGGTGATCTTTTGCATTTAATGCTTTTTGTTTTCAATATATAATGTTTCCATCTTTAATACATTGAAACGATTACTAGAAAAAAGTATATTTATCAAAGTCACTTTCTATAAAATATACTTGTCGAAAGTGATATTTTAGCAACATACGAGAGGTCAAGCATTTTCATACATGGCGTCCCTTTCTCTTTGTTAAAGGTGTATTTGTGACCCTATTCAGTCTCTGCTACTTGGTGAGTCCAAGATTCTGCCACAAGTTTGTAGGATATTTAGAAGAAGAGGCGGTGAAGACATACACAGGATGTATCATGGTATGTTCTTGAATATCTTGAAACTTAATTTTGATTTTTCAAAATTGGGCTATTTTGTTATTAAATTGATCTGTTCCAGCAATTCAGTAAAAATCAGTTCTCTCAACCCGTCCTGTGTGTATAAACGAGGGGAAACATCTATATATACAAGTATGATTTAAAATCATGAAATACGTCACCTTCAATCAATGATATCCAGTATTTTATTGTAACTTAATTATATATTTACTATTTAGCCCTCCATTGTCAAATATAAATAATTGTTCATAATTTCGATCTGGTTTCAGGATATTGACTCTGGTAATTTAGTATCATGGAAAACGAAACCTGCGCCTGAAATAGCCATTAACTATTGGAACCTAGCTGTAAGTAAATATTACATATAAAATAGAGAAAATATAAAATAGGCCTAGTGATAATTTATTTTCTGAAAATGAGTTTATTCGAGGTATAAGATGCAGAAATCTAAATTTATTATTAAGTCAGCAGAAATAACATCAGTTCATGCCAAAAACTGCCACCAATGTTTCTAATTTTGGCAGTCTATGTTTTGTATATTTGAATATTTTAACTGGAATAAAGAAGAAAAAACAAAAAAAACGTCAGTTCATGACTTGAAATGATCATAAGAAGATCAAAACATTTCTTTATAAAATTACAATCATATTTTCCGAACTTCATTTCCACTTGTATCTACAGCTTCCAATTCTTGTTGGTGGTGAATTTGAGTTTATATATTCTTGCCACTATTTCAGAGAAATGCCACGATGAGAGATGTCATACTAAACATACGAGCTGACGAAGCTCACCATAGACTAGTAAATCACACATTAGGTGAACTTGACACTGATGATACAAACCCGTATCCACCAGGGTATTAGTTGGGACAAAACAATGGCATGGCAGAGTCTTGCCTAATCACAGAGTTCGGGCCCGCTGAGGGAAAATGAGCATAAGTTGATCCCTCCGCCAAAGCATTGTTTCTGTATTTCAAAATAGCTGGCACTATGTAGGAACATAGCACTCCAGTGACAGTGTAGAATTTCAGGAATACTGGATGTGTTCAATATTTGAAATTTTGAATAGACGAGTAACAGAACCTCAGGAAAAACTAAATTTGTGGTCAGTATTCGAAATCTTGAGTAGATCTAGATGAGAACCAAAACCTGGAGAATTAGTAAAACCAGCCGTGAGAGAATAGTATCAGATGAGAGTAGAATGACGATATTGGCTACTTTAATCAGAGAGAAAACGTCATTAGAGCTAATATAATTTATATTAATGTATATGTGGTGTTAATAAGTGTTGACTTTTAAGCTTTTAACCTAGTTTATGAATGAATACTCGTAGAATCTCAACTCACATGACAACGGGTGTAACTGCTTTTACTGTCCACTCTGCGACTGTATAAGCCAATTACAGAAAGGATATTAACTTTGGAAAGACATGGTCCGCCAAAATATATTGATAGTTTTTGTGTATCATTACACGGTGGACCAAAAATGTCCATATTTGTTTTTATTTTGCAATAACATTTTTCGTAATCAATTATATAATTATTCCCAAATGGCATAACTATATCTATAGAAGTATTTGAAGAGTTGGGTAAATAGTCCAAATGGGTATCAAAGCATACTCAGGTTTCAAGGTAATATTTCATAATATCAAAAGCAAAAAACTATCTATAAATATGTTTGAAATTCATGCATTATAAATTTTTTATCATGCATTATAATTTTTTTGACTATTGCACACTGAGGATATTGTACCTTTTCGATACTCCTTTAGAAGCTAGGCATATTTCACCTTACCAATGACTTATCATTGAGCGTGAACAACTCTGCATTTTTTGTTAATTTGCAGATTTGTTGAATTCTCTTGCATTTATTTAATTAGACTTTGTAAGTGATTTGGATAAATAAAAATTAAATAATTTATTTAAAATAATTTACGCATCTGATGTATATTGTGATTTTGCTTATGAAATTGTGTGACACTGAATGACGTTCTACATTGAAACTGCAATTTGCAAAGATACGTCACAACATGAAGTTATCGAAAAATAGGCTTAGTTTATAACATGGTTTTCCCCGGACATATTTGAAAAGTAGAAATTGAAAGTGGGTTCAATAAATCGTTTCATTTAATTTCCTTTTCCAAAATATATTTGCAATAAATGATTTACATGACTTATTATATGCCACATATTGTAAATAATAGAGGAAATTTATCAGTTCTTAATGAATTATGATTTAGAAAGTTCTTTGAGACATTTTACGAAAATATTCACAAAGATGGTATCTTCGTTTTGATTTTCAGATATTTCAATGTCAAACCATTCTGTAAAACTGACTGATAAACAAAAGATCTTAAAGGCCCACTTCGCGTATTTTCAATGTCTTTGGGCAAAATAAAGACTTTTATTTGAGTTCTATAGAATGTCCAATGTATTGATAAGAACCCTATCTTTCATTTGACACCAACAAAAGCTCAAGCGCACCACATACAATAATTAATCAAAAAAATATTTTCGATCTGTCAAGCTTCATACATCAAGTTTTTATCGATGTATTACATGATACATTCATCTTTATAGAAGTGTCGCCATCTTTTAAATCAAAAGTAATTAAAAACATGCACTTTGTTTAGCATTGTGTATGCATGTCTTATGCTTTTTCTTTGTGAGTTATTTTTTTCTTGGTTCAATATCAAAGCAAATCAAACGTTGTTTCATATTTGAGCGAGTGTGTGAGTAATATGTTTCAATGATAATCTTTTTCTTTTTTCTTCTAAATAAAGTATACTGGGCCTTTAACATCACATAATACCCGTACATCGTAAACAAATAGATATTTTCAATGCGTCTATTTAAGTTTAGCCATTCGTAAAACCATGGGCTTTCAAGAGAAAAGTCACGTTTTTGTGCACACAATTTTACAATTTCATAACCATTTCGTGATGTCATGAAGTAACATCAAAAACATTCCAAAAACGTCCAATGAATTAGGCTATTACAAAGCATCACATAATATTTTTAAAAACACTGTTTAGTACAAGAGCATTGACAAAACGATTCAATATTCTTTAGTGCATTTTCATCGTATTTGAATTTCGCCAAACGCAAATAAAAATGTTCACATGCAATCAATAAAATATTGCACTGCAGGTAGTGATTTATGCGGTGAACCCCAATTTATATATAATGTTTAGTATACAGCGATCTATATATTGAACTTTAAGTCCACCGCCATTAAGCCATTAAACGGTTTGGTGCACTCCTATAGGATAACAACCTGAAAAGAGCTGGACTGGACTCATGAGTCTCGTTACCTGACAAACCAGCAAAATGATACGTTCGACAATAGGATTAATACTGGTGAACGTAGTGGTGTTCACCACATCTCAAAATGTACCATCAATTGTGACCCAGCAACCAAGACCAACTGAAAAGTACCCGCATTATTTGGAACTTGACGAACTTCAAAGATATCATTTGTTCTGGAGTTTTACAGAGGAATCCATCACGTTTGAGGCTCATGTGTTAACTAAAGGATGGGTAGGCTTAGGGCTGAGTACCTCGGGTGGTATGGTAGGATCGGATATCGTCATTGGAGGCATTCGAGATGGTCAACCATATTTCAAGGTCAGTTATAAAACATTTCTGAAAATGGAAACAAACGTTAATAATGCGAAAGAGAAACAGAAAGCTTCAATAATGCTACAATAATATAAATTTGTTTTCTCAAAGTATACTTGTGTTTGTAATGTCGTATTCATAATTTAAATCAAAATGGCAATAATAAGGTTTTGCATCGATTTATGCATAGTAGTTCTTTTAAAGTTTTTTGATCCGCTGTGTAAAAGTTATAAAAGTGTAGTTAATTACTTCATTACTCATGTCCACAGACTCCATGCATGATGATCATATCAGAAATAGTAGCATTTGAAAGACACATAGACATACATGTACACATGCTAAATATATGTCCATAGGATCGTTTTGCCACTGCTAATGCTAAACCTAGTGTTGATGAGAGTCAGGACTGGGAGCTGTTACTTGCAAAGGAGGAAGGACCGTTTACCGTTCTAAAGTTTACCCGACCACTCACTAATTGTGACAATGAAGACAGAGATATAGAGGTGATTAGCCATTAGTTCTTGTGTATAATCACAGGCTGGTATCGAAAGATTTGTCCGCTGTGACGGAGCATGCTATTTTTCATAAAAACACTAAGAATGCTTCACGATTTATTTTTTAACTCATATGTTTCGTTATATCAAAGATAATTACTTACTCCATGTAATGGATATATCATTTGCGTGTAACCTTCACTTCTGTTTGAAGTCCAATAACGCTAGGAGTAAAATCTATTGAAAACGGCGCCATAGTATCAAACTCTAAAATGTACCATTTCTTTTTAACTTTTTAATGGCATGATATAGTGACACGATAATATTTTTCTTATGTTTTCAGCATAACTCTGAATGTATTAATGAGATATTAATGCATTGGGTCTTTTCAATTTTTTTATAAAAAATAATATTAATATTTTTTGTCCGCTGCGACGGAGCATTTTTACAGTTCACATTTGCAACTGCTTCGTCACAGCGGACAAAAAAATTAAACATTATTTTTTATAAAAGAATTAAAAAGACCAAATACATGAACATCTCATTTATACCTTCATAGTTATGCTGAAACCATGTGTAAATATTATCGTGTCACTATATCGTGCCATTAGAAAGTTAAACAAGAAATGGTACATTTTGAAGTATGATAGTCCGGCGCCATTTTCAATAGCTTTTCTTCCCAGCGTAATTGGACTTCAAACAGAAGTGAAAGTTACCCGCAAATGATATATCCATTGCATGGAGTAAGTAATTTTGTATGGTATAACGAAACATATGAGTTAAAAAAATAAATCGTGAAGTATATTTAGTGTTTTTATGAAAAATAGCATGCTCCGTCACAGCGGACAAATATTTCGATACCAGCCTGTGATAATTACATGTAGTACTTGAGCAGATCAAAAATCAAACTTAATCCAATTCTTAAAGCAGCACAAAACTTTTCATTCTTGTTATTACAACCATCAACAATGCTTTTATTATTCAAGGAGGGTACCGTACGTTTGATTTACGCTTGGGGCGAAACTGATGGGGAATCCTCAGAAGAAGACCTTATGTACCACGGAGCCGAACACCGGGGAACAAAGAGCGTCAGTTTGTTGGATTATGGTAACCCTGAAGTCATGGATGTTACTGAAGAGGATGATCTACAACACTTTGACCTGCTTATTGGCAATGTAAGGAACCCATAAGAAAATACTATATGTACAGTCTCTGGTTGGAAAGGAATATTTCATCTTAATAATAGTCAAGAATACTTATTCATACAAGTTGCATGAGGCTAGTACACATTGTATGAGGCTAGTACATGTTGTGTGAGGCTTGGGTACATGTTACATGAGGTTACAGTACACATTGTATGAGGCTAGTGCATGCTGCACAAGGCTAGTTCACATTGTATGAGGCTAGTACAACTTGCATGAGGCTAGTACACATTGTACATGTATGAGCATGAGGCTAGTACATGTTGTACACTAGTACTCATTTTATGAGGCTAGTACAAAATCTATGAGGCTAGTGTACATGCTGTTTGAGGCAAGTACAGATTGTATGAGGCTAGTACATGTTTTACAAGCCTAGTACACATTGTATGAGGCTAGTACATGGTGTACAAGGCTATTGTACATGTTGTATGAGGCTAGTACATGTTGTATGAGGCTAGTATACATTGTATGAGTCTAGTACATGTTTTACGAGGCTAGTACACATTGTATGAGGCTAGTACATGTTTTACGAGGCTTGTACACATTGTGCGAGGCTAATATACATTGTATGAGGCTAGTACATGTTGCATGAGGCTAGTAAACATTGTATGGGGCTAGTACATGTTGTATGAGGCTAGTGCACGTGTCATATGGGGCTAGTACAAGTTGCATGAGGCCAAGTCACATTACACTCAGGTGGTTCTAACGAGGCTAGTTCATTCTGAATGACAATCAGAACCTGAGAATACCTGTTCATAATCATATTTTTGCAGATTACGATATTACCTAAACGCACAGTATACGGATGCCGATTGCAGAGACTCCCAGTGTTGTCTGGGAAACATCACGTGATCCGAGTAAGAACATATTCTTCTTTCATGCAAATTCAACTTTAGTGATTCCTACTTACTTCAAGAGTAGTGGTCTTGTCTCTTTCTAGACTTCAACATAGTACTAGTATTTGACATTGGAATTTGTGATGATAAAATTGAATTTTTGAGAGCAACCATGATAAAATTGCATTTTATTTCCTCAAGATTGACCCATTAGTCGAGGAGAAGAATAGAGGCATAGTGCACCATATCGTCCTCTATATGTGTAGGATGCCCGCCTCCAACATCGATATGTCTGACGAGAAACCCAACATATGCTGGGAGAGCAGAATGCCAGAAAATGTGACAGATTGTGACTCCATTATGTGGGGTTGGGGTGTAGGTGCAGGGGTATGTAAAACAATTTCATTCCATTCAGCCTATTTATTTCTATAAAGACTTTCTTGCTCCCCATAAGAGTTGATATGAAAGTTACATTTACAAAAATCATTATGAAATTAAGTGAACTGTGAAGTGATATATGCTCACCCTGGTATTAAGTTCACTTTTCTGGACAAGCAGAAGTCAAACAAGCCTGAGTGAAAAGGAAAATGTGCAATTGGATCACTGAATTAGACTTATCATTATCAGGGACCCATTAACAGAAACATTTGTAACTTTAAGAAGTTTCTGTTAACGACCCCCTGATTTTTCTTCCTTGCTAAAATGCATCGTGATTCAATGAATAAGAATGAGACTGTAATTGTTGGGCAATGCTAGGTCGAACCATGGGATTTCAAGAGATACATTAACGTCTGATTTTTTTGTTTTCATCAGATCTTTCACTTCCCTAAGAATGTTGGCTACCCTATAGGGGGAGTGGATGACCCGGTGTACATCAATTTAGAACTTCACTATGACAACCCTCAGAATCTAGAAGGTAAGAACTAATTTTTTGAAATATAGCTCTCTATTGAATTCCTAGGACTAGGGTCCTTACTGTAGTATCCTTGATCATTTCTTCCCTTGTAATGTGTTGTAAGTTGTACATGGTCAACTGGAATGAAAATTAAGACCATATTCACCAGTTAATTTCATTTTGCTATTAATTACAACTTTTACAAATATCTAAATATCTATATTTAAGTAAAAGTGCCAAAGGAATTGGACCAAAGGTTGTAATGGTACATCACAAGAAAAGGCAAACTCTAAGTGTGCGATACCAGTCATAAGAAAAACAAGCCCAATAAATCCCAAAACCATGATCTAACGTGAAAATAAACAATGTCTAATACCCCCTTTCCTTCACCATTCAAGAACCCAGTGAAATGTAACTTTCTTCAGTTGTATATTGAACAGGATTAGTAACAAATGCAAATGCATTAATAAGATCTAATTCCAGGTGTGATAGACAACAGTGGCATGCGTATCTACTATACCAGTAATGTGAGAACATATGATGCGGGTACTATGGTTGTTGGGCATAGTTTATTCCCCATGGCCATCCCAAGTGGGGCCGAGGACTTCACTATTGAAGCACCATGCAGCAAACAATGCACCAGCAGGGTAAGATAATACACCATTGACTTCGCATTCACATCCAAAATCGTCACCATCTGCCAATTATTAAAGACACGCAACACCAGCCACTGACCACCAACTGCCAAACACCCTCCACGAAAAGGTTGGAGACTTATAACAATATGTCAACACTTGCGGTGGTGACATAATAAATTGTAATATTTCATTGATCTCTTGTTTCAGCTGCTACCACCCGGGGGAATCAACATATTTACAGCTTTCCTACACACACATATTGCAGGTAATATTAAAAATGTCCAAGTTCTCAATTACCAATGTTATTCCTCTACAAGCAGTGGGGAGCTGGCCAGAAATTCTCTCAAAATCATGCAGTTTTTCACCATTCTGAGCACTTGTTGCATGATTTTTTTAGTCAAAACTGTAAAAAGCTCCCCCTGGAAAAAAGCTCCCCTTTGGTAAAAACTGGCTACAGGCAAGAGTCTTGACATACCCTAACATGATATTTTTGATGTTGAAGCAACCAAAACTCACATGGCAGATAATTACATTTCTGACATTATTAGAAATTTATAATGATATATAAATTCCAGTTGTTAAAAGTTAAAACCTCTCACAATTTTAAAATCTAATATCGCACAAGATTCATCTGAACTGCAAGCCATCAGTGAAATGAGAACTTCTTCATATGATTTTCAGGCACAAGTATAAAGACTCAGTTGTTCAGAGATGGTGTGGAACTGGCTCCCATAGCAGAGGATGAACATTATGACTTCAACTACCAGGTGAACAAATGAAGCAATCTCCTCATTAATATAAGCATGTACATGTACCATAATAATATGACAAATATATTATGTGCAATAAGTACCTCCTTTACTTTAATTCATTGTTTTTGACACTACCTGTATGTGTAGCAGGTAGTGTGTTTTTGACACTACCTGCTCTATTTACAGGTAGTTTAAAAAACAATGAGCCTAAATATCATTCCTGCCTATTGAACTTAATTACAGAGACCTCATTATTTTAAGACATTAGGAGTTTTAATAAAGTTATGTCAACATGGTAATTTATTGATCGCTCCTCCTCCTCGTACAAGAGACAAAACTTACCACTTTAACTATCTTTATTCAAAGTTTTTAAAATATTTGTGTATTAACTGTAGTAAGACACTCTACTCCTCTCAAAATTATCAGAATCATTTTAATTAGTACTGTATACTATCATCTTTAAAGATGTTTTTATTTTTGTTTTAGCAAACGCGACTTCTGAAGACACCCGTGAATGTTTTGCCTGTAAGTATAAGCCTTAGTTTGACAGACATTCTAGCAAGGGATATACATTCTAAAATCTTAAACTGGACATTCAGTGGTACAACAGTAAACTATTCATCCCTTTTCATCCTGTCAATATGATGCTATACATTATGTCAACTTTTAATTGAGTAGCATATATTTTCAAATATCTACCAAATATATATTCTCACGTCGCCATCATCAAGATGTCTAGTCTTATACACAAGATGGCCTAATTCTTGGGCTAACAATAAATCACCAAGATGTATAATCTTAAACACAAGATGGACGCATTCTTGGGCTAACAGTACCAGTTATTGATTGTATATAATATAATATGTACATGTACCTGCAGGGAGATGAAATGCTAACAACATGCCACTACAAGACAAAAGATCGGAAACAGACCACCATGGTAAGATACATGAACATCTTATCATGTTTTTCCTATCAATATTATTCTATTCTGCTCTAAATTTTTGATCATGTCACAATTTTCTATGCTTTTACTTAGTGTATCATGCTGCTCTTTTTATTTTAATTTTAAAGTAAAAACGAGGCACTAATATGCAAAATATCACCACCTGCCAAACAAAAAAAACGCAGAACACCGTCCAGAAAAAAGTTGAGACTATTAGTATAAACAATATGTGGTGGACATAATAAGACTTGATATAATACTCATTAGTGTGTCATTGTTTCAACCTTTTGCTACTACAGGGTGGCCCAGGGAGTTTTGATGAGATGTGCCTGAACTTCTTTACCTACTACCCAAAGATTAACCAAGCAACTTGTTTCTCTTCAACACAAAGTTTCTTTGACCTGAATCAGTACCTAGTGGAGAAGGCCATGTGAGTTAATACTGTAATGTTTTTCGAGTACAATGTTTGAGAATTATTTCAGTAAACAGTGAAAGATTAACAGTGATGATGAAGAATACATAGCTTGTTTTATAATTTTATGAGTCATTTTAATAAAACATTTATCTGTTCATGATTGCCCTTTTAATTAATAAATGCTATCTTCATATTTTGAGTACTCTAATCTAAAAAACATAATTAGTGGTAAATGATTCAGTGTACTTTTACTTGCCATTAAAACTGAAAATAACATCTATGCTATAATGCTATGCATATAAGAGTCTTGTAAATTGTTTTAAAATGATTTTCTATTAATCCAAATTATAATTGACATTAGGCTGGGTGAGATGACCATTGACCCATCTAGCAATGCATCAATGATAGACAAACTCAAGGATATACCTTGGACTGAGAAGGACAGGCAACACTTTGAAAAGTTGGGCAGAGAGGGCAGAGGATTCCAGGAATCTTGCTCTTACGCTGGTAGTGGGAGATCTACTTTCAATGGAGTAAGAATGATATATTAAGCTGTATTCAGACCTCCAAGGAAATGTTCACATCTTGATATATTTTTGAATCCTATATCTAATGCTTTTCTTTGGAATCAGACTGTACATGTATTTTAATAGTTTCTAATACTCCAAAAGTATACAATGAGCCTCCGGGAAAATTTTAATTGGTGCAATAAATAAATTCTATGAAAGATTACCTTTTAAAGTCAGTCATTGAGCTGCAATCTAAACAGGAATCTAACCCAATCACCTTATAATAGTTCATGCTTCATACCGTTTTTGACTTTTGACACTTTTCAGGAAACTTACTATGTTGCTAAGAAACCAATGTATCATACAAAGTATGTGAAACCAAGCAAGTGCAGGACAGAGGAAACCTTTGAGGACACATCAACTGCAACACTGACACAACTAAGTCTCATCACCATGGCAACTACTGTCATGACAACCATAATGACATTTTAGACACTGCTATAAAGGGAGTAAGAAAAGTATAAGACTTTCTTGTACTTTCTATCTTAAATACATATCCTGTTCTGGAGAGTTAAGGCCACTGGCTGGTCTTAACAGATTGCATTTTACTGATTATATTGCTTTGGAATATTTTAGTTTTACTTCACAGGATACTGTCATTTTAAACAAAGCCTGTCTTTGCAGTACTTATTTTTATACCTAAACTTATGAAGACATACATATTTGTATATCAGATTTTATATTTACCTTATAATTATTATACAATGATGAAGGCACATGAAAGAAATCATACAACCAACAAACAGATACAAAAGGCATGAACATAATGCAACAAGATTTATGGAAAAACTTTCAAAATGGCCATCAGAAAAGATAAATGTCATAAAGTTAATCAGCTCTAGAATTTGGTATTCTCTATTTTGTGTACAAAAGACTAGTCTAGGTTTGGAGAATGAAGTTCATCAGTCTACTGCACGTTACGCCTGCTTTGGACATTTTTGATATTTTTACATATTGTAGATTTAAATGTCCTCTTTTGAATATCCATAATTTAATTTGGGTAATATTTCTATATTTTTCATAAAAAGATTATTGGCACATTACACTAATGAACTTCTTTGTACAAATAGAGTCTTTTATTGAATCAGTCTTCTGCACGTTACGCCTGCTTCGGACAACTTTGAAATTTTTACATTTTGTAGATTAAAATGTTCTCTTTTAAATATTCATACATGTAATTTAATTTGGGTAATATTTCTATATTTTTCATTTAAATAATTATAATCACAGGAGAATGATCTCCAAACTGAGACTTGTCCTTTGAAGAAAATCCAATAAACGTTTTCATAGAATCGTCATGGCAAAAGACTTACACTACGATAATGATCACAATCGTGGTAACTATCACACCACTAACATGACGAACATATCCCACAAGTGGTGTAATAAAAACTCAGTAAAGTTTGAATTAAAATTTTATGTAATCTTTATAAAATTTATACCATGTAACATTTTAAAACATTATGAGACACAATGAAACTATGGAGTTTTATATTTTCTTAATCATGCACTTTAAATACCTACAATATAGTGAGGATATTTAGTTAAAACATGAGATTATAAAATTGTATCATCTATGTAAGAGGAAACAATCAGTGTCTACACACTTGCCAAATGTCTATTTGATATGTAATATAATATGCACATGTACAAGAAGTGTCATACGTACAATAACTTTGGCTTATTAAATAATAACTTATCAGCATATGATTGTATATAAAATTTCATTTGAAATATAGTAGACATCTTAATACTAATTAAAGGATCTAGTTGTACTTTATATTTACGAACTCAAAGTACTTTTTACTTTGGTTGTAATTAGAGTCAGTTGTGAAAACTTGAAATATGAAAATTTTTTGACAGCCATTTCATTACCTCTTTAAAGAAACATGGTAGTATACTGAAAAGTAAAGCCAGTTGCAAGTAAACAAACCTCAGCAATGTGTAACATTTTAGCCATATAATTGGATTGTTTACTGTCTAAATTATCATGGTGCGATCAATTATATAAATTATTGATTTGCAAGTTTTATTTATTTAGTACCAATTTAAGAAATGGAAAGAACAAAGATGATTCATTAAGATTTCAATCAGTAGAGTAAACCACAAGAGTTCTTAATATGTTATGATATTCTTGTAGATTTTTCTTTTAAGTCAATAGAAGGTTCCCATGACAATGTCTTAGCATATGAGCTGGTATTCTGCAAGATTATAGGAGCATTTTTAAAGTAACTGTTGTAGACATCATCTAGTGTGATCGAGGAAAGATATGAACCTGGATATCCCCTGGCAGATGTCAGCACCTGCAAATATAGCAAACAAGCTGTTGCTATGGAAACACAAACATGTTCCAATTTCCAAATATATATTTCCTTCGGGATAAGTTTATAAACGTCTACTTATGATACTTGTTAAGGTATAATTAATGCATTTTAACTTCTGAACACAACAAACAATATAGCTATCTTCAGGTTCACATGGAGTTTCTAGGATTCTGTGAGATTCAAACTTAGTACAACTGTAAACATGTTTACAAGAAAATAAGAAAAAATAATTCCTGTAGGTCATCATACATTTACTGACCTTCAATGCTGTAATTACTTGCTCTGCAGTAATCTCTTTCAATTGTTCCATCATAGTGAAGCCATTAGCAATCAGATCAATACCACACCCTGGCACCCATTTTCTAGAAAATACATCTAATGCCTCAGTCACATTTATGATTTACAACAACCATACAGTGGCCAAAGCTTCCCAAAGTCGAGAGAGATATACAGCATTAAATATAGTGATAAGAAGTACGATGTTGAATTTCTATATCGATTTTGTGATGCTACGGCCACCATATGACTGCCTGGCTGGTATAGAGTAAATGTGACTGAGGCCTTAGTATCTTAGTATATAACATTGTACAGGCCATTTACTTATTCAGGGTCACATGATATGAACAAGAACACAAATGTGTACAAAATGTCCCCACCTACATGTATGGGTGATCCCATCAAATGGTTATCCTAAAAATTAGTAGACAAGACTTTACCGACACAATTTGAGGATGGAAAATCCAAAATGGCCACCTTAAAATTTACCCAGAATGCCCAAAAATTAGTCAGTTCTAGATTTTCATACTAAGAACCACCCCTAAAAATTTGAAATTGATCCGTCACACAGTTAACCAGAAAACATGTAAACAAAACTTTATAGACAAGATTTGAGGACAGAAAATCCAAAATGGCTACCTTGACATTTACCCTGAATGCCCAAAAACTAATCAGATCTAGATTTTCATACTAAGAATCATCCCTGAAAATTTGAAATTGATCCACCAAACGGTTCACCTGAAAACGCGTAGACAAGATTTTACTGACAAGATTTTAGGACGGAAAAATCCAAAATGGCCGACAATAAAAAAGTGATCATGAGTTTTTGCTGATTTATTTTTACAAAATTATCACATATAACTACTGTTAACAATAACATAGGCTTTTACAACAAAGTACACCTGAAATTATTTGTAAAGCTACTAAATAGTTAAAGTATGAAAAGTGAAAAACACCATTCAATATGATACAAAGTATTATCGCACGCTAACTTTTCTTAAAACATTCAAAATGGCTGACATGACTGAGCTAACAGGTCCAAAACCTAATCAGATCTAGAATGAAGTGAGCTGAACAAGATGTTAAAGTTTTAAAAGCAACTGTGAAGCCGTTTTTCTTAAAGTTTGCAGACAAGGATTTTAGCATTTGACTTCAAAATGGCCGACAGGAAGTAGGTATCGAGCTAATTTTTTTTCATCCACATCTATATGCACTCATAAGTTATCCCTGAAAATTTGAAGGTGATATCTGTAGCGGTTTTGGAGAAAACTGCCGGATGTACTGTTACGTTCGAAAATAACAGAAAGTAAAAACAGCAATTAAAATATGATAACAATTTATTTATATTTTGAAAACTAAATAATATAACAATAATATAAAGGAGGTTTAATACTTAAGTGATGTCCAATCAATGATACGGCTTATTCTTGATGTCGATAAATGTCGTTGACGATCCTTGAGAAAGTTCCAGATCACGAAATGTTTCAATAATCGTTAATAGTTCTCCAATGTTTGTAATAATCCAATAATGTTTGTTGTAATCCTATAATGTTTGTATCCAATAATGTTTGATGATAATCCACAAATGTATATGATAATCCGTATATAGTGTGTGTTGTAATATATGTCCATATAAAGTCCTCAGGTTGTATGTTTGTAGTGTTATAAATGTTCCCACAGTAATTATCTGCTAAGAAGATGTCCTTTTGATAAACTTTGAAATTCTGCTGTCAGCCCAAATCAGCTCTCTCATTATATAGTGCAAAGGCATAGTCCAGATGTTTCAAGAAGTTACGATTTCTAGAAAATAACACTGATTGGACATCTTAAGTCACATGATTCAATCTTGATTAAATGATTACAGTTCCAGTACTTTCTAGAAGGCCAAGAGTTAATGAGTCATTCAGTTCAGTTATGTTTACAAGATATAATGTCATTGTGACCTTGACTTGACCTAAGATCTCTAATGAAGATCAGTTACAGTATATGCATATTGATAAACTAAACTCAATGTGAATATAATAGAATATAATACTGTAACACCTCCCTCCTTAAAAGAAAAGTTTTGAATACAATGAAAAACTTTTACAATAATATCTGGTGTAGCGAGGGTTACAATTTTTAATGATGAGGTTGAGACTTACATAACATTTGTTTACAATAGTCAAATACAATAATATTCATATGGTTACAGATTGAGTAAAACCCAAAAACATATTACAATAATATTATCAAATCACATTCGAAGTACAATCTTTTTTATTATATCAACATAAAGCCTCAAGTATATACAGTATAAGCCAAATAGCCTCTTATAAATAGAGGTATTACACTCTTGAAAGAGTGTCAGCAATTAAATTATCCTTGCCTTTGATGTGTCTTATGTCAAGATTGTACTCTGACAATAACAGACTCCACCTCAACAATCTACGATTCTTGTTCTTCATTCTATGAAGGAATGTCAGCGGATTGTGATCAGTAAATACAGTAACTGCATGAACTGGTGCACTAACATATACTTCAAAATGTTGTAATGACAGAAGTAATGCTAGACATTCCTTTTCTATGGTGGAGTAGTTTTTCTGATGTTTATCAAATTTCTTTGAATAATAACACACTGGATGATCAATACCATCCTTTTCTTGTAATAGGACAGCCCCCATTCCTACATCAGAAGCATCTACTTGAATTTTGAATGGCTTGCTAAAATCAGGTGCAACAAGCACTGGCTGTTCACTTAGTATGGCCTTGATTTTATCAAAGGCTGTATGACATTGCTCAGACCATACATATTTGATGTTTTTCCCGAGTAAATTGGTCAATGGAAGAGCAATTGAAGAGAAATTTGGACAAAACTTCCTATAAAAGCCAGCCATTCCAAGACTTCTCATTAATTCTTTCTTGTTTGTAGGAGCTGGGAGTTGTGTAATTGATTCCACTTTGGCACTCACTGGTTTGACCTGTCCTTGACCTACCACATGGCCCAGATATTCAACTGTGGCTTTACAAAACTCACTCTTGGCCAAATTGATGGTTAAATTGGCCAGAGAGATTCTTTCAAACAACTTACGCAGCAAACACATGTGTTCATCAAAAGTGTCAGAATAGACGATTACATCATCGATGTATACACCAGTGTTTTTGAGATCTGCTAATAAGCTGTTCATCATTCTTTGAAATGTGGCAGGTGCATTTTTCATACCAAATGGCATAACCTTAAATTGGTACAAACCATCAGGAGTAACAAAGGCAGATACCTGTTTTGCTCTTTCAGTTAATGGAACCCCTAGGAATCCTTTGAGGAGATCAAATTTACTGACATATTTAGCAGTTCCAATTTTGTCAATACAGTCGTCAATTCGTGGTATGGGATAAGAATCGGTCTTTGTTACTCGATTCACCTTGATATAATTAACTACTAGCCTACGTCCACCATTTGATTTTGGAACAATGAAAGCAGGTGAACTCCATGGGCTATTGCTCTTTTCAATTATGTCATTTTCTAACATATAATTGACCTCAGCTCTCAAATCTTCAGATTTTGATGGATTAACTCTATAAGCATGTTGCTTAATAGGGGTTACATCTTGGACTTCAACATCATGATAAGCTATAGATGTCTTAGTCGGTACATCAGAGAAGATATCAGTGAACTCATGAATTAATTCTGTGACTTGCTGTTTTTGATCATTTGTCACATGGTGCAATTTATGATCTAGATTTGATAATACTTCAGAGTTCTTTAACCTAGACAAACCTTTGATATCTTCATAGTCCAAATCAGTATAAGTGATATCATCTGAATCTTGTAGATCAGTTTCTTTTACAAGGATAGGTGCCAAAGTGACTACAGGTTTAACTGAGTCATGCTCTTTGTCTGGCTCAAAGTACCTTTTCATCATATTGATGTGACACAGTTGTGTTTCTTTGCGCCTATCTGGAGTTTTGACAATATAATTGAGGTCATTGACCTTGGAATCCACTACATAAGGACCAAAGAATTTTGCTTGTAGCGGATTTGTCTGAAGTGGCAGTAATATAAGAACTTTGTCACCAGGCTGAAATGATCTTTCTTTGACTTTTCTATCGTACCAGGTTTTCATTTTATCTTGGCTTTTGAGCAAATTTTCTTTGGCTATTTCACAAGCCTTTGATAGGCGCTCTTTAAACCCAGTGACATAGTTCAATAAATTAAACCTTTCAGTTTCTGTCTAGTGTGTGCCAAAACCCCAGAAAATCACAAAAACCTATGTTGTGGTAGCTTACTATGAAGTGACCCATTATCATTATAGATTGGTCCATCAACTATTCATTTTTACTTGTCTGCACTCAAAAAGGTGACACGAAAGGGCTAAACGGCTTGCACCAAGGTGCAACCATCAAAAAGATGAGTTTGATAAAAAAAATTTTTTTTCAAATAATAGCAATGGGTATACAATAAAGGAGGCAAATTTGATATTGATAAGTATGATAGTCCATTTGCGTGTGGCCATTTTTATAAAAAACAATAATTGTGAAGAATTATATATTTCTGACCTGAAAATACCATATTTATTCAAAAGTCATGGTTGTTAATGATAATATTCCTATTTCACCTATTCAATGTTTTCAAAATATTTTGATTACCATTATATTCATTTTTGGCAAAGTAAATAAATATAGGGCTCACACAAGGATCAACTTTATTTGCAATATTTTCATATTTAGTGATGTTTTGAAAAAATATAAGGTTAAACACAATTTTATTTGTTAAATGTTTAACAAAATAAACAGATTGTGTTTATTTCATTGTTTTGACTGAAAATCGCAATTCATTGCTCTTCCTCTTAGAACGGCAGGGGATATACAAGTACATAAACAGTCTTAAAAAACGTTGATCCTTGTGTAAGCCCTACACTTATTTACTTTGCCAGAAACTGATATAATGGTTATTCGGTGGTATGAAAATCATTTCAGAGGTAAAATAGGAAGAATGTCTTTGAACTTGGAATAAAAAGCATTATATGGTTAGAAATACCCAATTTTTACCATAATTGTTTTTAATAATATAACCATACCCTCATGGACTATCTTTACATTTCAATAA